CTTATCTCGACCCACAAGTTTTTCATTGTACTTTTTCTCCCCTGTCGAGGGGAGTGATAGAGCAGCTCTGGTGGGCACCTGGCCCCAGCCAGGGTCAACCCACCACAGCTTGTCATCTTCAGCAACGTGTGAGCCACAGTGGAAGTTACAAGGACCAAAACAGTCACAGTGCTGTTTAGTGTGACCAGCTTTGTAACAAACTTCCTTGAAAAACGGCCTCCATCCCTTGTTTCAAAGCTACTGCAGCCACAGCTGCCTCTGTGCTGTTGAGCTTTCTGCTTCCAAAGAGGCGTTGGAGCTGCCAGTGTTTGCCAGGAAGGTGCCCTGGGGTGGAGAGGGGCTGATGGCAGCAGGAGATGACTTGAAGGACAGTACAACGGGTGATCTCTGTCTTAGACATGGAAAGCCTCACCAGAGGGTTTAGGCTGCTGCTGGTGGCAGTGGGGACAGCCTGGTGGGAGGCAGTGGCCTTCTTGAGGAGGAGAGCATGGCTATGGACAGGATAAAGATCTGCTCAGAGCACAAGTGAGCCTTCATTGAGAATAAGCCTCCAACACGCACTATCATAGCCTAAACCAGGTGAATTTTTTTTTGTTTGTTTTGTGGCTCTGGGGTGGATGCTCGTCCCAGCATTTACATCGGGCTGAAGGACAAACTGTCCCAAATCAGGTGGGATAGTACAGAGCCTGCTATCAGCTTGTACTTATTTTTGCAAAGCTGCTCCTGAGGACACGTGCTTGCTTATAAACAGCTCGGTGCTAGCACCATGTGGACAAAGCAAAGGCCCAGAAAATTGCACGTGAACCAGGCTACAGCCCACTGTGTTGCCATGTCTCTGCGATAAGGCCATCGCTTCGGATTTGCAATGTTACGCTGGCTGCTGTGACAGCAAATGCAACAGGCCAGGAACTTCTTGAATTTTTTTGATTTGCTGAAACTGAAACTTTTCAGAGGTCCTGATAAAACATCCCTTAAGAACGTGTTTCAAACCCAGGAAGGACTTTCTTGTCAGAACTAGAGAGAATGAGAAACAGCCAGATAAATAGGGCATGAACTCGCAGTGTGAACAACAGAGACCAAACTCCCTGCTCATCTCGCTCAAGACAAGATGCATGAACCCACCGTCCCAGTGAGTCCCCCGAGAGTGGGGTCAGGCCGGGAGCTAACTCTGCTTTATCTTCTGGTGAAAAATGTCAGGTCTCATCTTGACAGGGAATTGGAAAACGCTGGTGATTACAAGATGTTTTTGGAGCTGGCAGCGCTGTTTCTTGCCTGGCTGTAGTGACAGGTTGCGATGAGGCGTTAGCAGGCTGGGGCATGATCAAAGGGAGAGGGAGGGATTCCCCAGACCAAGAGGGATGCTGAGGCTCGCTCCAACACCACCCTAGAGCAGAGGGCAAGAAAGACTAGGGGTTTCTGCCTCCCCCCTTTCACTTTGTCCTGGTCTTTCTTTAAAATGATAAACAGTAGCAGTCAGATGATAATGATTTAGTATGTGGAAAGCCTGAGCTTTATCGGTGTCCCTATCCCAGCTCCTTTTAAGTCTCCCATAGAAATCTCATGAGCAGCAATATATAAACTGGCTGAGTTTGTACCCACGCAAGGAAACGTGGCCGAGCCTCATAAATTCCACCGGTTTATACATATCAGCCCAGTTTGCTCAGCAAAGGAAAAACTACCAGGTGCCGGCAGTGATGAAGAGAAGGGCTTGTGCTGCCTGGGGGCAATCTTGAAAAGCGCTGTGCACCCCGAATGTCGGCAGAGATGGGGGCTCAAGCACGGGCACTGCACTGTGTTTGGGATGTTGAACCGGCCTCTCTGCTGTTTTCAGGCAGGAGTAATTTCTCATAAAAATGGAGGTAGAGGCAGCCCTGCAAAACAGCTTGAATGCCTCTAGGCGGCATGAGAGTGTGTCTCATCACACCGGGACACGCAGCGCCTCGTGTCTGCCGGCCTGCAGATCCCGAGTGGGGAGTCTTTGTATGTGGCTGTGGGTTGGAGGTGCTGTGCAGAGCACCCCAAGCCCCAGGTCGTGTCCAGAAGTGCTGTGGGGTTGCCTAGCGTGAAACTGGAATCGGGCCCCACATCTGCACGTGCTGACAAAAATCCTGTTTGGATGAAACCTCTGCAGCACTGGCTGGCAGGTCCTCATCCTACACAGCCAGGGATCCCTGCCCCTGTCCCCACGGTGTGGGGGTACCCAGGTACCATGGCCCATGGTTAGTGCTGGGGCAGCAATCCCTTCTTCTTTCCTTTTATTGCTGAAGAGGTCTGCTTGATCAAAATGATGGTGCCTGCAATTGGACCACCCAACCATCACATCTCTGCCCTGCAACCAAAGACAAGGAGTGCTTTCCTCAAGTGTAAGTCCTGGTTTGATGGTTTTAATACTTTTAGGGGGAGGTGGAGTTTGGTAAAAGATTTCTGGAGACAGAGTGAAATCCATCGCAGCTGTCTTGGGCACACACCTCCTTCAGCATGGTGCAGCCTGCTCTGGAGGTGTCTGTCTCCTTCCACTGACAGCAGAGAGAGCCTCAGGGACTGGCTTAGACTCATAAGGACACTTAGGAAAGAAAATCCAAATTAAATAAAGGTTTATGGATTAAAGTCCTTAGTAGGAGACTTACAAGGAATTCAGTTTACTTTCATTCATTTAAGAAGAACTAAACTGAGTCATGGTCATTTTAATTCTGCTAAAAATGTTACAAAGAAGTTCAATGTGGCTTATCTTAATCCACTTGAAAAATCAATTCAGATTAATTTCCTTGAGTGTCTTGCATAGTTTGCCTTTGATTTTTCGCATGTTAATTACTTTTATTGTGCGTGGGTGAAGCCTAGCATAACTGTAGCTTCCATCAGTCACAGAAAATGCTCCTGTGGTTATGCGCAGACTTTAAATCCAAAGCTCCTGGACTCCTGGATGGGTCCTGTAAACCATTTCACAGAATCACTGTGGATGGCAGGGACCTCTGGAGATCTCGTGTCCAGCCCCCTGCTCAGAGAAGGGCCAACTGGGGCAGGCTGCTCAGGGCCATGTCCAGTTGGGTTTGAACATTTCCAAGGATGGAGACTCCAAAACCTCTCCGGGCAACCTTTTCCAATGGTTGACCACCTTCACGGTAAAAAAGGTTTTCTTATGTTTCAAAACCACTGTTTTCTATTTTTCTGTGTCCCTTAGCATGTGATGCAGAGCCAGAGACAATGACAAAGTGACCAACACTGCTCCATAGGAACAGCTGTGCCCAGACCATCCCACAGGATTTGAACACAGATGCCAAGTGATGTCTGACAAGAGTTTGTACTTTAGCCACTACTATTTTGAGGTTGAGATGTCTGGGGCTGATGTTTAACTTGGCATGATGTACGGAGGCATTGACCAGGCAGGTTCAGAAAGCAGCAGCTGCACCTCGAGGAACGACTTCTCCAGGAGCATCCTGCTGTATGGGAAAGGGTTTCCTGCATGGCACAGTGAGGTGGAGATGCGCCTCAAAAAGGATGTGCTTGGTAGGATAGGGGTCTACCCAAACTACCCCAGCGGGACCTTGTCCTTTTACGGGGTCACCTATGATGATGTGACCTTCATGCACCAGTTTGAGTATGATTTTGGCTTTTAAAGAAAGCAGTCTGTCAGGATAATGTGACTGGGGGAAGATGCTGAGAAGATCCCAGCCTCCTTGGCTTCCTTTGGAGAGCTGCTCCCTTGAAAGCATCTGAGGCAGGAGAACTGGCCAGTGCTTAGGTCATGGTGTGATGCCAATGCTTCTGCCTCAGGTAGCTGGGTGAAGAAGGGAGAGATGTTCCAGTAAAGATTCTTGTAATCAAACGTGGTTCTAAGCATCCCATATTTTAGAGGTGGACAAGGCTTGAGAGTTCATGCGGTTGCTTGTCCAGGGGTCAGTGCAGATTGTTCCCAGCAGTATATCCATTAATATTCTGGTTAGTATGACTTAAAGCCTTTTTTATTTTTATTTCCCTCCCTCAAGGATGGTGGTGCGTCCCTGCCCTGACACGTCCGTCTTACCAAGCCAGTGTAAGTGTGCAGACAGAAGCCAGGCAGACCGAGGTTGTGTTGCCATTTTCCCTGCTGCGCCTGGATAGAGGGTCTCAGCCCCCAGCTCAGTTCTCAGCTAGCTTCAGGGTGGCACTGGGGCAGTGAAAGGTCCCTCTTGGTCCTCCCACCCCCAGGTCTGCACCAAGAGCAGAGAGCTATGGGTACTGTGGGCATTGCTTTGGGCAGGAGAGACTCCGTGCAGTGTCCCGGCTAAAACCCTCCTTCCTTCCAGAGGGAAGCGGGCGGGAAGCGCTGGTGGTGAGCAGGGAGCAGCAGAGGCTGCAAAAACGTGAAAACAGAAGGCTGGGCCAGGGAGGGAAGGCGCGTTGCGAGTAGAGGAGCAGCAGCTCAGCCTGCACCCCGCAGGAGGGTGCTCTCAGACCGCTGCTGGCTCCGCTG